ATATATATATATATATATATATATATATATATATATATATATATATATATATATATATATATATATATATATAAAACCCACCTTCCCCTTTTGTCCAACGGTCTTTAACCAGCATACCCCTTCTCGACTGTACTCATCTTTACTCGCCCAAGCATGACTGCATATATTCTGCTGTGCAAGCCTTTCGATGACTCGATCTCGGCAGTGGCCGAGACACTCGTCGCCGTTACACCTTACGGGTACGTCCATGACTTGGTCGACCCCTTACCATTCCTTTTAATGGTAATCCACTTGTGGTCAGATTTTGACTCATACAGTTAACCAGCAGCTTTAATAAAATACTCCTTTTATCTTATTTTATATAATTTTATTATTACCATTCGAGTACTTAAACTATTCTATTATTTGTTTTAAAAAAATATTTTATTTCTAATAAGAACAAAATTATGAATTCAAAATTAACAAAATATGTATATAATTCATATATTATCGAATATTTTAATTTAAAAATTCATGTTTAAGTTCAAAGTAAAAAGTAAATATTTAATACTTCAAAATCGCTGTTATTTTGACATGATGTACAAATACTCAAATAGCACGGATTTTTAATAAGGCTATGGCATTTATGGTGGACCTACTTCCACTAATTCACGCGTGTGAACTAGCCAAATATTTACACCAGCGTCCCAGTTCGCACGGGAACACAAAGTAGGAAAAAAAGAAGAAGAAAAAAGACAAGCTAAAGCAAATAAATAAGTCAAAATCAAAGAGAGACAGGTGCGATTCCTCCTCCTTTCTCATCCAGTTGCATTTCCTCGTTGGGTCATATATTGATTTTTACGCGTCGGAGAGGCTGAGGAGAGAGAGAGGAATCAGATCAGCAAATTTTCATTTTTTCCGATATCTTCTCTCTCCGTCGGCCAATTCCATTTCCGTTAAAACCCTTTGCCCGTCGCCACCATGAACGAGAAGGCTAATGTTACAAAAGAGCTTAATGCTAAGCACAGAAAGGTATATATACTTCCGATTCATGATTTTCCCCCAAATTTCGTTTTTTCTCGTTTGATCTAAGTTAGTTTTGATCTAAGTTAGATTTGATAAAGTCTGACTCTTGCTTAGTTTTTGTGGATATATTTTATTTGCTCTTATCAATTTATATTTGAGATTTGGGGCTTAGTGGATCATTTTCCCCCTTTCCTTAAAATTGGACTCATATTGCTAATTTTATTCGTATATGATAGTTTGAGCACTGAAATGATGATCTGGTTCAAAGCAGCTGGCTTGAAATTTGAATTTTGGATGTTCATTCTTTTCCTAATAGAAAAAGAAAAATAGACAGCTTTCCCGGTACTCATCATTTTTTATTTGTTTTAAATAATTTAAGGACATTAGGTGAAATTTGTTCATATTACCAAGGCACTATCGACATATTATTCCTTTCTTAGCTTGTTTAGTTGATTCGAATACGAATATAGCTGGTATTGAGAACCTAAAGTCAAAGCATTTGAGCATTTTACCATTCTGCCGTCAACTTTCTTCTTAGTGATATTGCTAGTTTGAAATGTTTACAGAAGTGTGAATAGAAATTATATGTAAAGCATTGAGATGATCTATTGTTGAATAGAGATCTCCAGAGCTCTACCCATGGAGAGATACAGGAAAGATAATTTCTTCATAATTAAGAAGCAGTGTGAAACCAGTTTAAGCCAATGTCTCTATGAAAACTTCCTCTTCCCGATTTTGGAAGTCCTATCTGCCAAAGCTATACTAGCATCTGAGTTGAAGGCATTAAGTCCTGATTTAGAATTCTTAATTGCCAAAGCTGTACACATGTCATGTAAGTATTAATACTGCGAGAAAAGAAAAAGGAAACTGTGGTATCTGTTCTTCTTCCTCTACTCTTAGCCCCTCACTTATTTTCCTTGGAGGTAGAAAGATAAAATTTTCTTTAATCAAAGCAAATAACATGATTAACCACAGGAAGACCATAAGGAAGCATGATTATCATTATGTAGTTTTTGGTTCTATAATGAACTTCCCTTTCACAGTTTATTTCCTGGTCGGTTTATTTCGATTCATGTGTGCATTACATAATGAATTTACCCTTCACAGTTTATTTCGTGGTTGGTATATTTCCGATTCATGTGTGGATTATATAATGATTTTTCCCTTCACATTTGATTTTCTGGTGGGTTTATTTTCGATTAATGTCTGTGTTCACATCAAATTAACTCATCGCTGGGCTTTTTGGCAGATACTAGAAGGACTTCTTAAATTGCCCGAGAACAGGGAATGTGCAGATTGCAAAGCCAAGTACGTATTAGGATGTATCTCAAATGTTGCAAAGTGAAGCTCGGATGTGCTTGTTAATAGATCATTGAATTGAACAGAATTGGCTTTAATAAACTCTTTGGAGTCCTTATGTTGACCGTACTTTACTTTTGTACCAATGCAGGGGTCCTAGATGGGCAAGTGTGAACCTGGGGATATTTATTTGCATGCAATGCTCTGGGATCCACAGAAGTCTGGGGGTGCACATATCGAAGGTGATATATTCCTCATCATGACCAAAATGTCCCACATATTCTAAAAGTCTGAAATGGTGTGAGCATTTGCATGTGTTTCAGCTATAAGTGTTGTCCCAATTGAGAAATTGCGAACAATAAAGGTCATGGTCAACTTTAGTATTCCTTGTTGTTGCTGCTGTTTCCCATAGTATTGTTGCTTAATATTCTTGATTGAGATAAAATTCTTTGAATGACTAACTACGACTGAAAACTTAAAACTCATTCCTTTTTCAGCTGCGGCCACCCCTACTTAACATATGTTGATTTTTAATCACGAGGATGGAGATCATTTCACATCTATTAATTCATAATTTGTATGATTCTACTGCTGATATTCAATCTAATCTAACTTCCTCTGTTATTGCATTGTCTTCTGATTTAGAGGGATAGTCATGTACTTTGTTTGGAAAATCACTCTACATTTCCTCATCTTCTCTGTGTTTTGTGATGAGAATCCAGGAAATAATTTCTAACATCTTAATGTTATGAAGACATGTCGGCTGAATGGAGTCATTTAACTAATACCCACAATCCTTGAAATGAGTAATTGCAATGAAGATTGTCTTTGGAACTGGTTTGCTGCTTTCGTCCGGCAAAAGAGTTTGCTGAAAAATGCTATTAATTATTAGGCAAAAGTCCATGGCTATGTTGCCCAGACTTTCCAAAATCCTTCTGCACCTGTGTCGGATGCTCCAAAAATGCACTACTTTTAGATGATCCGACACGCACCCGGTGACATTTTCGGAGAGTCCGAGCAACATAGGTCCACGGAACGATAATTTTATGCATAATAATCACAATAACCATTGTGCACTTTTTGTTAATGTGTGGTTGTGAAGTATCTGCGAACTTGGAACATGTGATCAGATTTCTCTCAAGTCTCATCCTTCAACTTTTTCTGGAGCTCTTTTTTCCCCAACAATCCTTGTATTTTAAATGGCTCATTGTGGTTTCAGTCTAGTTTTTGTACATTTGAGGAATTGCCTCGTTTTTCGTCAAACCTATGGGTTTCATTTTTCTATAGAAGATTAGGTGTCTCTTGTAGTCTGGTTTGATAACTATATGCATAATAATCACTAGGGGTGTTCATGGTTCGGTTTGGATCGGTTTTTCCCTAAAAAAAACCAAACCAAGTAAGTCGGTTTTTCAAATATTAGAACTAAACCAAACCAATTAAGTCGTTTTTTTCTCAATTTGGTTTATGTCGGTTTTTCGGTTTTTTCGGTTATTTGTCGGTTTTTTCTTAAATATAAGACATACACTACCAAACACATATCCAGAGACCACATTTTCAACGTAACACTATCAAATCAATTGCCCTTTGAGAAATCTATTATTTACCAAGATATATTGATGATAATTGAATAAAATAGTGATGAATAATTTAAGGACTCAATTAAAAATATATTATTTTTAACACGAAATGGATTCTTACACTTAACAAAAGAAAACTACCAATCAAACTAGACTGTAAAGGTAAAGAACTATACTAAAAGTGCAAACTATTAACATTTACCATTAAATTTTTGAAATTTTATATAAAAATATACATATATATAGGTGTAATAATGAATTTGAAATATCTACTCCTATAGTCGGTTTGATTCGGTTTTTTTCTGATTAAAACCAAAACCAAACCAAATTTGATCGGTTTTTTAAATTCAAAACCAAAACCAAACCAAACCAAAAAGTATCGGTTTTTTTGGTCGGTTTGGTTTGATTTTCGGTTTGGTTCGGTTTTTCGGATTTTTATGAACACCCCTAATAATCACAATAATCCTAACCCTCAGGGGTTGGCCTGGTGGCAATAGACTTGAGCCTTGGGGTTTGCTCCCTTTCAAGGTCTCAAGTTCGAAACCCACTGGGTGCAAACAATTTCTGAGGGCCATCGGACTGGGTAAAACCTGAATTAACCGTGGTGCACTTGCGGGAAACTCCTTGCCGAGGGCCTGTGCACCCCCGGATTAGTCGGGGCTCTTAGAGACTCGGACACCCGGTGCAAATCAAAAAAAAAAAAATAATCACAATAATCCTTGTGCACTTTTTGTTAATACATTGTTGTAAAGTATCTATCAATTGGAACATGTGATAAGATTTCTCTCAATTCTCGTCCTTCTGTTTCTGGATCCCCCACCCCACCCCCACCCCCACTCCACACACACACACACATACACAAAAGAAAAAAAACTGTATTTTTAAATGGCTTATTGTAGTTTGAGTCTAGTTTTGTACATTTGAGAAATAACCTCTCATTTTTAGTCAAACCCATGAGGTTCTTGTTTCTATAGAAGATTGGGTGTCTTTCGTAGAGCACATACTTTTTCTTTTGTAGGTTCTCTACTTTTTGGTATGTTGCCTGTATGCAGGATATAATTCCACATCTCTTACATATTGAATAAAAATATTCACTTTATGAAAAATAACTCATTGTGCTCTGAATGATTATTGGCGACAACGACTGTGCCTAAGTCCCAAACAAGTTAGGGTAGGCTATATGAATCCTCTCTGACCTTCTAATCTGGAAGAATGTTACTTCAATTTTTTTGTTGTATTCTCTGATGTCTCTGAAATTACAGGTCAGATCAGCTACTCTAGACACATGGCTTCCTGAACAAGTTGCATTTATTCAATGTAAGATATCTGTTTCCTATAATTATCAAAGTTTAGATTTTGATTTGATAGAGAAATGTTTTAATTTTAGATTACCGTTTTTTTTCTTCCTCTACTTTTTATCTCTTGGGTTCATATAGCAATGGGAAATGAGAGGTCAAATAGTTATTGGGAAGCAGAGCTGCCTCCAAATTATGATAGAGTTGGTATTGAGAATTTCATCCGAGCAAAGTACGTACTTACTTAGTCTCTCCTAACAATTTATATCTTCATACGGTCTTCTTCCCTCAATCTAGTATTTTATACTTATCCATGGCATCTCCTGTGTTTTGTTAAGATATGAAGATAAGAGGTGGGTCCCTAAAGATGGGATACAAAAACCACCTTCCAGGGTTCAAGAAGAGAGGGCTTCAGTGCAATGGCAACAAAACAGTGATAGAAGTGGGCGTGGACATGCGACTAACTCAGGGGTTGCATCTGATGAGAGGAAGAACGTTCAAGCCCCGAACACAAAGCAAGATGTACCTGCTGCTAGAGTCAGTATACCACTGCCTCCTAGAGGGCCAGAGCATGTATGTTAAACTTTATATTCATCAAATTGGCTTTCTCCACATTTCTTTACCTTTCAGGTGTAATATTGTTGTCTCAATGTCTTTTTTTGATTGAAATCCTCTTCATTTGCTGGTATATCTACTGGACTTGCCTTAGATATATGAGGTATGAGCTGATTGGGTCTTAGCCGTTAGGGTTTGGTTGCAGTTATTATTGGTGTTGAGTATTGATTCTTTACTCGTATTGTTGAATTAAGCAGCTCTTACTCATACTGCTTTTGAGTTACGAGATACTTGCATCTTAATTTTTTAGGTTAGGTATGTGGTGTATCCATATCCCCTCGTTAGTCCTTGCGTATAACTGCTCCTAACTGCTGTTAGTTGTTATTTCTTCCTACTTGTTAGTCTTTCTGGATTAGAATCAACACTTTATCATAGTTTTGACTACTTGCAGGTAAGTTCGAGTCAGGTTGCTTACCGGACAAATCAGAAAGCAGAGCCTGTTGTAGTCGCTGAATCTATAAAGCAGGTTGCAGAAGCTACGAATCCTCCTAAAGTTGATTATGCTACTGATCTTTTTGACATGCTTTCTATGGATTCTCCAAGTGACAATGGCTCGGAAGCAGCTTCTACCGATGATAACTCATGGGCAGGTTTCCAGTGTATGTTAAGCCTCAGTTTTGTTTGAAACGTGTTTCTTTTTCCTTTACCCCCCCTACCCCCCCCCCCCCTCCCTTTTTTTTACAATTAACATTTAGAGAGTGCAGTCGTCTTTCTTCCATTAGCATGATTAATTCTTTTCCTAGTTTTTAGTCTTTACTTCTAGCTTAGAGAGAGGTTATGAAAGTAGTTTGAGAAATCAACAGCATGCATTTTTTCTTGGGATTTGAATTGAAGCTGTAATACTCGTCTTGTAGCTCATTTTCTCCTATAAAGAAAGTTGTGAACTTTGCAGCTGCTCAAGAAGCAACAAAAGCAGAAAAAACAGGGGCTACAAAAACTGATGATCAGATGTCTCAATCTGCTTCTGCTTCTGGAATTGAAGATTTATTCCAGGATTTACCATCAATTCTGCCTTCTGCCTCATCCGGGAAGCCGCAGAAAGATGTAAAAAATGATATAATGAGCCTTTTTGACAAGGTAGAATACTGCTACAAGAAGTTGAAGTTTTTGGTCATGTTTAACATTTCTGCTTTTATCTAAAAATGATGTTGGCCTTTGCAGTCCAATATGGTGTCACCTTTTGCTATGCATCAACAACAGCTCGCTATGCTGGCACAACAACAGTCTTTACTAATGGCTGCTGCTGCTGCTGGCGGTGCTGTAAAAATTCCTGTGAATGCACAGCAAGGCCCTAACGGTGCCAATATGGTAAATCAAAATTGGCCAAATTTGGGCTATCAGTTCCCTGGTGTGATGATGCCAGCAGCTGGTAAGACTGAGCCGGAGAAATATATGCAGGTAGAACACGAGTATTATTTATCAAGGGAAGAGAAAAATTACACATGGATATCAAATTTTGCATTGACCTTTTGTCTTTAAGACTCTGCTCAAAGCTGTTTATTTTGCTTCTAAACTAGGTAGGCAATATGGGACCGACACATGTAGTTGGGAACTCTGTGCCACTTTCAACATCCAGGTATTAACCTCTGACCTGTTGTTGGTTAAATGTAGACTGTTGCGACTGCTGCATTGTCCTTAGAGGGCCTGTTGTTAAGACCTTATATTGAACAACTTAATGCAATGCATCATATCCTGCCGATTTTTGGCCGTTTAGTTCTCTTGAATGATATCCCGTAACCTACAATTTTGTAGATCCGAGCTGCTTTTTCCATTTGATCTATGTTACTCGGACTCTTCAAAAATATTGTTGGGTGCGTGTCGGATCCTCCAAATTTAGTGCATTTTTGGAGGATCCGACACGGTGCGGCAACACTTTTGGAGAGTCCGAGCAACATAGCATTTGATTGCAAGCTCTCTCCTTTTATTCCTCTGCCTAATAGTGGGTTGCGGGTAGACCCCATTGGATAGTATTATTTGATCCTAGAGTTTTGAGACACTAATTCACTTAACCTTTTTCCCTCAAAAGGAAACAGTTGAACGTGAGCTTAGTTTTTGACTTTTGATCCATTCCTAGTAGGTTTAAGTATACAATAGAAGACTCTCTTGCAATAAAAACTAAAACAGATTAAGTGATGATCAAGTAGAAGAGGGCAATCCCATAATCCATGGAGCCTTATTGCATAATTTACCCTTTTCCTTTCTAACCCCTTCTTGCTCTTGCACACATACAACCACCCCCCCCCCCCCTCTTCTGGTAAATCTAATATGACGTACCTGATTCATTTGATTATATTTATGGCGGCTAGGTTTCTATTTTTGTTGTCATCACTTTCTTTTTCTTCAGTATTTTCATCTTAGTTTTTTTACTCTTGTATTTTTTAAACTTGTTTTGAAAACGTTTTTCTTGAGCCGAGGGTCTATCAAAAACAGCCTTTCTACTTCGCACAAGGCCCCACCCTCCACAGACCTCACTTGTGGGATCACACTTAGTATGTTATTGTTGTATGGCAGATAAGTTTCTTGTTATTTTTAGATCACTCTACTGGCTGTGCCCTTGTTATCTTATATTCTTTTACTGGTAGAAAAATATATTGACTTTAGTCAAACATGGCTAATTTTGTGCGACCATTTGAAGAGACAAGGTTGCATCATCCTCCCCACAGTTCTTTTTCCTTTTGGCAGAAACTGGAGTGATTTTGATTTCTAGATCTGAATGTTTGCAGTTGTTTGAGGATTTTCATAGCTACATCTGCTGATCTGATTTTGGAAGCTATGTCTATATTGGATACAGTTGCTTTTGATGGCTTGTATTTTTATTTTTATTTTTGGATAAGGATGGATTGTATTCATATTACCTGATTTTGATAGCCAATTTACATTGACGAGCTCAGCTGCCAATCATCTTTTACATTTTGATTTAGTTTAATACTGATGTTGGGTAAGGAACCTTAGGAAATAAATTTTGATAGTTCCATTTATTGTGCTTAGCAGGAACAAATTTTGGGTGCTTGTTTAATTTTTCATTTAGTATTTTATGATTGAGGTGTAATTGATAGTTATCCTTTTATTTTGCAGCTTCTACTCGATGGGACAAAATTCTTCCAGCAACGGTATTTTGCCGTCCGGACCTAGCAAGCAGCCAGCTACTCCTATTTCATCAAGTTCTGCGCAGTCGACAAAAGAATTCGACTTTTCCTCTTTGACGCAGGGGATGTTCTCAAAACGCTGAAAACTCTTCGAGGAAGGAAGCATACTAGTTGTTAGTATACAAATTGTTTTTTCCACAGGGAATTAGCTTTTGTTGTTCTACTCCTGTTTTGGAGATTGTAAACTAATGTAGAGGAGCAATATTGAGTTTTCTTCAGGTTATGGCTTGATTTGTATTTTTGTATCTGGAAAAAAAATAAGCGCTCAAGATTGGATGGAATTCGATTCTTTTCCTCCCTTTCCCTCGTATTCATGCATTAATTTAATGTTCTGAGTGATGTTCTCCCTTAATAATCTAAAGAACTGCTATTTTCCGTTTTAGCTTCCCTTGCAATTATATGTTTAGTTGCTCTTTGGGCGAGATTAAAAGATATATTCTAGCATTCCATCTAGTTGCTAAACACAGCAGCCCACCTAGGTAAAGTTGAACATACTATGATGCATTAAAAGATATTATTTTTAAGTGTTTACTTATCCTATAAAGGAATTTGCACATGTTCTGAGGTGTTGTGAGGCTCTGAGCCATGAAATGGAGTTGAAATAGTGAGTGCTGACGAGCTAATATATGTTGAGAAGAACTCCTCACTCTCTAATTCCTCTGATTCCGCCTCTAATTTTCCCTCAATTGATCAGAGAAACAAGGGAAAGGAATGTTCAATTGAAGAAGACAACACTGGTTTTCAGACAAAGCAAAGGTCTTCGGAGTTATCTAGAAATGAGAAGGATTCTTTTACACAGTTAGGATTCACACGTGGAGCTCCCTCAGCAAATCACATGGCACATGATAGATCAAATCCTCGCCGTCCAGATTAGAGAATTTTTCTTTTTCTATTTTTTCCATCAGATTATTCTCACATGTGTGAGATGTGTGAATAAGCATTGTAAAGAATAATAGTGGTTAGTTAGTTATTCTCATAGCATATAGGATTTAGACAAGTGTACATTCTTTTATTCTTTCTAGATAGGATAACTTGTATATATAGGCTGATGATTACACAATGGAAGACACAGAGAAAATTCCTAAATTTTGTCTTCTTCTTTTACAATCTTTCATGGTATCAGAGCAGTGAAGCTCGATCCATTCTTCTCTTTCTTCTATCTTATTTTTTCTCTTCATCTTCATCATCATGCCTGGTAACACTGAAACTACTGTCACCCAAACTGGATCTGGAAATGGAGTAACCTTCGATCCAAACCATCCCTACTTCCTCTATTCTTCTGATGCACCTGGAATGACTTTGGTGAATGCAATCTTCACTGGTAGAGGTTTTCAGGGATGGAGGAGGTTTGTGCTAATTGCACTTTCAGCCAAGAATAAGTTAGGCTTCATCAATGGAACATGCCCAGCTCCAGCTGCTACTTCCAAGGATTTTCAGCCTTGGAGTAGGTGCAATGACATGGTCACCTCTTGGCCTCTAAACTCCCTCTCCAAAGACATTGGAGACAATGTTATTTACTCAAAATCTGCCAAGGATTTGTGGGACAGCCTTGAACATAGGTTTGGACAGTCAAATGGTGCCAAACTGTATCACATGCGCAAAGAATTATCAGGGTTAGTTCAAGGAACAACTGACATAGCAGGATACTTTACCAAACTCAAACGTTTATGGGATGAGCTAGATTCTCTGAATTGTGATGTTAAGTGTCTATGCTCTTGTGTTTGTGAGGGAAAGGAAAAGTTAGAAAAGTCCTTAGAAGATGAAAGGCTCATTCAATTTCTCATTGGATTGAATGATTGTTATGGACAAGCTAGAGGAAATATTTTAATGATGAACCCTTTGCCCAACATCAATCATGCCTATTCCTTGGTTCTACAAGATGAAAACCAGAGAGAAATCTATGCAAACCCTCTAATCTCTGCTGATTCATCATCTTTCATGGTGGGAAACCAAGGCAATTCTATGGCTCAAACTAACTATCCACAGAAACGGACACAAAGGAATTTTGGACAAATTCAGAAGAATCATATGCAGAAACCAGGAAATCTAACACAGAAGAACCCAACCTTCAGGGGAAAGAAAACCAAATTCAATCCCAATGTGTCTTGTAGCTATTGTAAGAAGATAGGGCACACAATCAATGACTGCTATAGAATCATAGGATTCCCTGAGGACTTTGAGTTTACCAATACCAAAGGAAGCCAGTTTCAAGTTAGGGGAAATGGGGCATTTTCAGTTGAAACAACAGAAGAACACAATAACAACTGCAGTGAGCCTTTGTCTCAGCACCTCTCCAAAGACCAATTCTCACAGTTAGTGCAGCTAATCAATCAGGTTAAGGTTGGGGATGCAGGAAGTTCTAATCCAGAGATCAATGCAAATGCTGTGGCTGGTACTATTATTAAATATACTAGTTCCTATTTTTCAGCTTTTAACTCTAGTACTTGGACTATTGATTCAGGGGCTTCAGAACACATGTGGTTTGACTCTAATGCTTTCCTATCTCTAACTCCTTTACCCTCTCCACTGCATATTAATCTTCCCAATTCCTTCAAGCTAACAGTCGCTTATGCAGGCAGAATTCTTATATCTCCAGAATTCATTCTGGAAAATGTTCTGCATGTCCCTAGCTTTAGATATAACCTTCTAACTGTCAATAGGTTTTGTCTACAGTTTCATTGCATCATTTCACTTACATCTACTCAATGTCTGTTGCAGGCCCCTTTAATGAAGAGGCCTCAAGTTTTTGGTGAAGCAAAGGAAGGATTATACCTGTTGGAGCCTAGAAAAGTTAGATATAGTTCACAACCTAATGTAGTTTCATTTTCCAATCAGAATGATGTCAGTCAAGTTTCAGTTTCTTTTCCTATTTCTGCTAGTGCAATCTCTAATGTAAATCTTTGGCACAATAGATTGGGGCATTTGCCTTTCCATGCAATGAAACAGTTCAATTTTATTTCAATCTCTTCTAATTCTGATTGTTTTTGTGATGTGTGTCCTAGAGCTAGGCAAACTAGACTGTCTTTTCCTTTAAGTCAAATAACATCCAAAAGAATATTTGAGTTGATTCATGTTGATACCTGGGGTCCTTACAAGGTACCTACCTACAATGGTTTCAAATATTTTTTAACCATAGTGGATGACTTTAGCAGAGGTACCTGGACCTTTCTGCTAAGTACAAAGGGGAATGCATTTGCAGTTTTAAAGAATTTCTTCATCATGGTTGAAAGACAGTTTGGGGTTAAAGTGCAGAAATTAAGGACTGATAATGCATTTGAATTAGGGAAGGGTTCACAAGAAGCATCATTTTTGCTTTCTCAAGGCATTCTTCATCAGACAAGTTGTGTGGGAACCCCTCAACAAAATGGCATTGTTGAAAGGAAATACAGACATCTATTGGAAATAGCTAGGGCTTTATTGTTCCAATCACAGGTTCCTATCTGCTACTGGGGTGAATGTTTGTTAACTGCCATATACTTAATCAATAGGTTGCCTTCTAAAGTTTTACAAGGACAGACACCCTACTACATTTTATTCAATAAGTTGCCTGCCTATAGATTTCTTAAAAGTTTTGGATGTCTTTGTTATGTGTCCACACTGTCTAGTGGAAGAAACAAGTTTGAGCCTAGGGCAAAAGCTTGTGTGTTCTTGGGATATCCTTTAGGACAAAAAGGATACAAAGTTTTGGACCTAGATACAAGGAAGATACTTGTGCTAGAGATGTGGTTTTTCATGAAGACAAATATCCTTTTGCCTCAATCAGTTCAGCTCCACCTCCCATTTTTCCCTATCCTATCCCTGCAGAAGTCAACCCTGCTGTTTCCCACTTGCTCCCTTGCCCACTGAACCTGTTCTATCTGTTGCACTAGGTTCTGATTCTCCTTCTTCATCCTCACCTTCTCCCTCTCACCTCAGTCCATCTTCCTCCTCTTCACTCTCTCTTTCTCCATCTCCTATACACATACCTTCCAGTTCTGCCCCCTCTCACCTACCATTACCTTCACCAGCCCTTAGAAGATCTCTTAGGGTCTCCAAACTGCCCACACACCTCAATAATTACATATGCAACAGTGTGTACCTAACAGACCTCACCTCTTCTTGTTTTGCTCAACCTAGTAACCCTACTGTCTATTCCTTTACAGCCTTATCTCATCAAAATCAACATCTTATACAATCCATCTCAGCTATCTCAGAACCTAATAGTTTTTCACAGGCTTTTGCACATCCCGGATGGAAACAAGCTATGCTTTCTGAAATTGAAGCTTTGGAAAGGAATCACACTTGGGATGTGGTTCCATTACCACCAGGCAAAAAGGCTTTACCCTGTAAATGGGTGTACAAAGTGAAGCACAATTCCGATGGTACTATAGAGAGATTAAAAGCTAGATTGGTCGTGAGGGGGGATATACAAAGAGAGGGTATTGACTACACAGAAACCTTTTCACCCGTAGTCAAAATGACTACCATCAGATGTTTATTAGCAGTGGCTACCAAAAAGGATTGGCCTATTTATCAACTAGATGTCAGCAATGCTTTCCTACATGGGGGACCTACAAGAAGAGGTCTATATGAGGTTTCCAGTTGGTCTATCCCCGTCATAGTCCTAACCATGTGTGCCTCCTCAAAATCTCTGATGGGCTTAAGCAAGCTTCCGGCACTGGTACGCTCGACTTGCTGGTGCCTTTGAGTTTCAAAGGTTTATTCTTCTTCCATTGAATGACTATTCCTTATTTTTTAAACGACAAGGCAATTTGACATCCATTGTTGCAGTATATGTGGACGACATTCTCATTAATGGGAAGATTCAGTCGAGATTGCAGGGCTCAAGTCATTTTTACACACAGAATTCAAGGTGAAAGACCTAAGATGCCTCCATTATTTTTCTACGCATGGAATATTGCGAGAAAAAGAAGGTATAATTGTGTGTCAAAGGAAATTCACACTTATATCTGCTCCAAGAATTTGAGGTTGCAGCAACTTCCCCTGTGTCTTCTCCATTGGAACCGCTCTTTCAAAACTTCATCGGATGCAAGGCCTTATTCCAATCCTACTGTGTATCGATATCTGTTGATACCCAATTTTCCCTGTATATTTTTATATTGCAAATATTTTTAAAAATAGCATAGGAATGCATATATAAGTATGTCCAAAAATTTTCCTATTTTTTCTTTAATTTTTTTAAAGATTTTTAAACCGATTTTATTGCCCTATTTCACCTGTAACAAACCATAATTATTCCCCAAATTATCA